TCTTTCTACAGCTGAGGAGCAGAGTGTGGACAGTTTGTGGGTCTCGGTGGGGGTTCGGTTGTGTAACATCGACTCGCTGCCAGAACCCTCAGACCGACTTCTACCTGCGCATATGTCCGCCTCACGCCGACGTCACACCTGATTATGTATAGTCTGACGACCAGCTGACAGCCATTTATTTTAACCTCTGAGCTACGAGCAGCTTCTGTCTCGTTTGTCTTCACTGAGGATCGTGTTTCGGTGTTTTTTTTGTCAGTTTGTGTTTCTGGGGCTCTGACACACTGTAAACATAATTTGCTAAATGACACTGTGTTGGTGAAAAAACAATGAAACAGTAAATTATAGAGAACGTGAGTGTTGTAACAGATCACCTGTCTATAGGGACTGTTACTCTGCAGATATCCTCCGAAGGAACAAACTTTGAAGGCGTGTTTTCGCCCGTTGCCACGGCGTCGGCAGCGTGTTGAGCGTGTGAACAGATGGCCGAGTGTCTGCACACGACACCTGACCACGCCGGCCCTCTGACTCACGGCTGCCGAGGCCTCGGATCGGCTCCATACAAGGGCGGCGCTTCCTGCCGTCCCATCGCGGGCCTTGATGCTCGGGCTCGGTCGCCATGGAGACGGGAGGCTGGCAAGGCCGAGGCTGAAAGCTTCCACAGTCATCTGTCCTTTATCTCGCTGACTTAATGCTGCATGACATAGTGTGGAGCATGTGGCTGCAGATCAGGAGGCAGATTATGTGATTTCAATCTGCGCTCCGGTGGAACTTTCTCAGATGTGTCTGGTTTAAACATGTGTGGCGCTGAGAGTCCAGCAGCTCAGACTGGACCCAGTGTGGGGGCTGCTGGGTTTACATAAAGCACCAGTGGAGAAGTGTGAAGGCTCGACGCCCTGATTCAGCTCCGTGAGGCTGCAGAGATTCTGCTGCATCTCACAACACAGACGTCACTCTGTGTGTTTAAATGTCAGCCGTGAATTCTTCCAGCGGCAGACAGTGGAGGGATGCACATAAACCATCGTTCTCCTGTTTCTGTCACTGAGGTTCATGTTTCTACATAAAGTCCTGCAGCTCTGAGGAACCAGAACATGAAAGAGGAGGAGAGGGAACTCAGAGATGTCTTCTGTCAGCAGGACGATGGAGACCAGAGAAAGAGACCAAATTAAACCTGGAATCAGCAACACTTTGGTCATTTTACGTCTTTCTGGGCTGTTTTGTGTCACATTCTAGATGTTCAATGTGTTCTTTGCATCTTTACTCAGTCATTTAGATCTTTGGTGACCTTCTGTGGTCATGCTACGTTACATTTTAGTTGCTTTACATGTTTTTGAGATATTTCGTGTCACATTTCAGCCCATTTACATCTTTCTGTGCTCATTTCGTGTCCTTTTTCTTCGTCTTTTTTGACAGTTTCACATCAGATTTCGGCTGTTTTACATCTTTCGTTGTCGTCTTGCTTCTCATTTCACGTCTTTTTGTGGTCGTCTTGCTTCACACTTTGGTTGTTTTCCAGCTTTTTGTGTCACATTTTGGTCATAAAAAAATAAACAAGTTACTTCTTTGATTATATATTTTATCTGGAATCATGATGGAAACCAGAGAAATTCATTTATTAGATAATTTATTTTACAAAAATGTAAAAATCCAACACTGGAACAAATGCTGTCTCCACATGCTGCAGATGTACAACGATCTTCTGTCATCGTGTGTCTCGTTTGTGTTGGTTTGTGACGTCTTATTTTTATTTCTGTCTCTTATTTGTGTCATTTTTTTGTTGTTTTGAGTCATGATTTTGTCGTTTCGTGTCTCTTTGCGATCATGTCGTCTCCCGATCCTGCAGATGTTGGACTATCTCCATGTTTTCAGACGTTTCCAGACTGACTCCTCTGTTCATTTATTGATCCAGCAGGTTGGATTTTCCTCTCAGTCTCTCTGAACATTGGTCTCAGCTGAGGATCAGTTACACCAAAGAACGCAGAACTTCAGTTTAACAGAATCTTTTTACGGCAAATGGTTTATTTGTGGTGAATTATGAATTTGTAAATATGTTTAATAAAGTGACTTTTGGTAAATATCACAGTTTTAAGCTTAGATTTGTTGAATTTTTCCAACAGAACTAAAAATCTGGCGTGATGCGTTCATGGTAAATTTAAATCTGACACTTCTTTCTGTATTTACACTTCCTGCCTCTGACTAATGGGACATTTTGGCTTCTTTTTGCCCCCCAAATACACAACTTTTCAACCCGTCGGTGGGGTTTTAGGGTCCAGAAGGTTCAACTGTAGCCTCAGAATCATGTTAATGTCAAACCTCTCAGATGCTCACTGACAGAAAAACCTGCAGAATCTATAAATAACCACAAAATGTACTTGACATTAATACTTACCGTCAATAATAGCATTGTTTATTACCCAAAAAACTGTCGGAGTCACTTGAATCTTTGTGGTTGCGATGAGGAAAACCGAATTAAAGCGAATGGTCTGTTTTTGGCAGATCTTTGAATGAGACATGAATGAAGGATTTTAGCTTTAAATGACCCTGATGGGTCTGTGTAAACACATTTTTTCTGACATGATCGTTGGTCACAGTTGAGTCGTTCATGGTTAATCCGTTGTGGTGAGGAACTCAGAATTTTTTGTTTTTTACAGAATCTGGTTGAAGGAAACAATTTATTTTTGGTGATTTTTTTAAGCTGTGATATGTTGAATAAAGGGATTTTTCTAAATGATCACGATTAGTTCAAGGACCGTCGGACATTAGAGGATTCTTTGTGTTTTTACAGTTTGTGGCTCGTGAACGTTGCGGTTCTGGTGATCCTCTTTTAAAGCTGAGCTCAGAGGGTTAACCGGTTCTGTTCCTGCTCCCTGGTGCTAGTCATTGGTGTAGTTA